TGGTTCTTAGTAATGTACAGGGTGGGCCAAAAGAAGTCATCCGATGTGATTTGCCCCCCATTTTTTATTAGTCATTAAAATTTACTTCTGTTTTCGGAAATCAATCTTTTGAAGATTCAAAATTTATGTGATTATGTTTTTAAAATAGACATTGGTCAAATTGCCACCTCCTGAGTCAAACCAAAAATGGTCTCTGAAAAGCTCCCTCCTCGTGTTAAAACAACCCCCATTTTTCAAAAATAATGTAAAAATAAAGTACACCGCAGGAAATGTAGGTGAAAAAAAAGCTGCGTGAATTTTTCTAATTTTTGGATATGTTACGTATCATAGCGTATTTGAAAAAATATATGAGGGCCAAACACTTTCTATGGCTGGTTTTGGAGATAATGGCATTTATGTAGACGACTTCCCATACTAATCGCAAAATTCACCTGTTTTCAAATAAGTCGATTTTTGTCACTTTTTTACAATAAAAATGGTTATTGTTTACTTTTGCAATATACTAACAGATTATTTGGCGACATTTTTGCGATACAAACATATTCTGTCGCGCATATGGTTTTCATGATATTTCACCAAACGTCAATATTTTTGGGGAAAAAATGGGTAAACCTGAGTTATTTTTGAAATGACTGCGTGAGATTAATTTTTTATTTTTTCATCCGATAAACAACATGATATTTAATAAAAAATGCTGAAATAAAAAAACTTTCTATGTCTAGTTTTTTTGTTATATGAGTTTGAAAGTATGTATGGACGGCTAGCAAAATATACTTTCAATCTCTATAACAAAAAAACTAGACATAGTATGTTTTTTTGTTTCATCATTTTTTATTAAATGTAATGTTGTTTATCGAATTAAAAAATAAAAAATAAATCTCACGCATTCATTTCAAAAATAACTCAGATTTACCTATTTTTTTCCCTGTAAATATTGATGTTTGGCGAAATATTATAAAAACCATAAGCCGTACAGGATATGTTTGTATCGCAAAAATGTCACCAGATAATCTGTTAGTATATTCCAAAAGTAAAAAATAACCGTTCTCATTGTAAAAAAGTGTCAAAAATCGACTTATTTGAAAACAGGTGAATTTTGCAATTTGTATGGGAAGTCGTCTACATAAACGCCATTATCTCCAAAACCAGACATAGAAAATGTTTGCCCCTCACATATGTTTTCAAATACGCTATGATACGTAACATATCTAAAAATTAGAAAAATTCACGCAGCTTTTTTTTCACCTACATTTCCTGCGGTGTACTTTGTTATCACTGAATAATCCTTCGAAGATGTGAAGTCAATGCTATTAAATAAAAAATAAAGAAAGCAGTTAGATGTTAACTCCAGACTGGATGCAAGTTGGTGAAAACCAATCCACAGGATTTGGTTTTTGAACCGGTTGGTCAGATCTCCAGATCTGACAACGCCAGAATTCATCCAATGGTATTTTTGATAGCTCAAGATTGCAAATTACAATTCATGAAACTTTCAAGTCCCTGAAGCTACCACAAACGAAAAAAAAACATAGTCATGAATGTATGGAAATTAACATGTTAAAAGTTAAAACGTACGGTAGAGATGGCAATTCGACTAATTTATTTTTAAAAACATAATCACATAAATTTTACATCATCGAAAGACTGATTTCCGAAAACAGTCATCGATTTTAATGTCTAATAAAAAAATGGGAGGTGTTTCACATAGGGTGATTACTTTTGGCCCACCTTGTATAATGTAGAAGAGATAGTGAAAGAGTAGGGGGAGGAGATAGTTGATCAATTGTTCTGGAACTCTAGTACTATCAGTGGCTATGTAATAAACAGCAGATCAGTGATGATGCTGTTCGTTTGCGGATTGGCGAGCGCAGTGCAAGATGTTTAATTCACAGGGAACACTGCTGCCCATTCCCTGGATAATTATCCTTTAGTCGCTTTTTACGACACCTACGGGTAGAATTGGGGTGATGCTATTCTGGCCGGCATCACAAGAGCAAATCATGCTAAAAAATGAAAATAATTGATAATTTTTTATTTTGTCAAAATTATGTCTAAAGGTACCCAAATGAGAGAGCTGGCATCGGTTTACCTCTGATAAATAATGTAAATAAAACTGGTCTTCCACTGCCGGAAGTGCTTCGCAGACCACTCTAAATATGCCCTTCGGACACTCTTAACAAAATCTCGTCGTTGCAGTGGCAGACCAAGCTTTTTTACATAATTTAACAATGGTAATCTGATGCCAGCACTTTCATTTGACATAATTAAAACAGATGGTCTTTTGACTTGTTGATGTGTCTGTTAACATTTTAAAGTTAGCCTATTGTGGTAACTGGTGAGATAGGTATTTCGGCAGCCGGCTCATGCATTATTATTCGTCAATTGTTTAAAAAAAATTGTTCAATGTTGATTAGCAGGTTAATCTACAATTAAGAATACTAGCATTCCTTGTACAGTCAGTTCCTTGCACTTACTGTAGTACCAAAAATGCTGTGCTTTGTAGGAAACTTAGCAGCCAATATTATTAACAACTGTGATGTAAGGAAAGTTATAATAATTATTTAGAATTACCTTTTCATCTTTCTTCTCCTCGACCGGCGTCATCATTGTGGAATCACAACCATACTAAATAATAAATTACCTAATTAGATTCCTACACTGTCCAAAAAAGAATTAGGCCTCTGCTTTTTATCACCATTATACACATTTCATCAGTTATCACTGCCTCGGTCTAATTGAAACCTATTCATTATTATTTAACCGGTTTCTTGTAATGATATTATTAATTATTTACGAGTTATACATCACAAATACGAAAAACAGGTCACTGGCATACAGTAAATCAATATAGGCGAATAGCACCAAAACAATGCACAAATCACGGCTTTTCTACATTAAATGAGATTCGAAATGATTGATATTGATTTCGGCTATGTTTATCTTTATTACTTCATGGTTTTCATTCAATAATGAAGAAGAATTTGGTATAAAAACAAATATTTTGTAATTATTGGACAGGCGGACACAGTCCACTCGACGGGAGCACAGTAGTTACTAGTGATGTGACATCACTCAGGTTATCGATTTAATATTAAGTCGATCGACTGACTAAAGTGACAGCTTATATTTAAAAAAAATATATAGTAGGTTTAGGCGTAATAGTAAGGAAAGCTCAAACTATGCTGCCTGTTAAATTATTCATCATAATAGTAGGTTGTTGACGAGGACGGGAAATAAGACTTTGACTGACGAGTAGAGTTTGAAGTCCGAGCCGCAGGCGAGGACTTTAAAAATACGAGTCTGGCAAAGTCATTTTCCCCGAGGCTTACATAGTGCTTTTCTCAAAAAAATGCTAGGAAATTATAAAGATTTTAATTTATTTTATAGTAGTTTGATATAAAAAGTTGTTTTACTGATTACTAAGTCAAGATGTGGATTAGGAGTTATTCTTTTTTTATTTTGTAATTTCTGAACGATTTCGATATCGCGCCAGAAAAGTTGTATTGGAATCCATTGCTGGTGTGTAAAAAAGAAATCGTTCAGAAATTACAAAATCACAGACAATGTCAAACTTTCTGGATTGTTTTCTTGAAAGATATTGTCATATTTCCTAGCATGTTTGAGAAAAAAATATTTATCTATACTGTAAGCCTGGTTAATAAAAGGAACGAGAGGAAATACTAATAACTAGGTATTTTTACCGCTTATTCAGTTATTGTACTATGGTGAGTTACGCATTTTGGTACTTGCCTGCAGGCTTAGAGCTTGATAAAGATTCTAAAATTTTCAGATGATTTTATACCTATATTCGTTCAGCGCCATCTATTGATGATTTGACTTACTACTAAGTAAGGCCTTTTTGACAGCTGATTGAAAATACCCTAATAGACGATGCTGAACTTAAGGAGAATAAATTATGTGAGTTCGTGGGAGAAAGCTTAAGTTGCTGATAGCAATGAAAACTTACTGAAAAGATAAATGTAAGGTAATACTTAGGGGGGGCGCGCTATTTGAGCCAGTTATGGATGGATAAAGATAATACCTACAAAAAATAAATAGGTAAACAGGGAGTAACAGAAAGGGTATCACAAGCCGAAAAGAGGTCTAGGTAGGTAGTCATGAAACTGAACAACTTTCCCCATGGAACATGCCATACAAAATCGCCGATCAGCTGATTGATTTACTATGGGAGGTTCTTTCCTTATTTTGACCCATGTTCCATGGGGAAAATTGTTCAGTTTCATGAGTACCTTGACCTCCTTTCGGCTTGTTATACCCTTTCTGTTACTCCCTGTATACATTGAAAAAATTCTTGCTTTAAAATTTGTAATATGCCACAATGAATGCTAGGTGAGCCTTCTGTTAACGCCATCTGTGGCGTAAAAAGGGTATTTTTTTATCTGTAATAAAGGCCTTATATTTTAACAAATGTGAAATGAACTCAAAATTGAATGAACCCAAGTCCAATTCTAGGTTATATCACAAAATAGAGAATTTACAGAAGGCCAGCTCGCCCCTTCTTTCGATCACTTATGCCTACTCTTTAGGGTTGCTACTTTTACTTTCTGTTTTTTAATGAAGTTACCTATCGTTTGTAAGTATGAATTAGGTATATGCAATTGATAAACTCCTAAATTATCTGGCCGATATGAAATATTTTTTACCTTATGGAAGTAGGTACCTATACCTACCTGAGTAGAAAGTCATATTTCTAATAGGAAATAAGTAGGTTCCCACCTAAATCGGTAGATAGGTGGGCAATGGGTTTGGGTCACGAGACTAGGTGGTAAGCGAAGCGACCCATAGGTAGGCAGGTAGGTAAGTAGGTAGGTAGAGGACCGGCCGGTGGCGATGACCGATACGACAAAGGGTTCCTCACGTCGTTCGTCGGTGTTTCCCAAGGAAAAGAAGTGCATCTATCTAAAAGAAAGGCCTAACAAAATACCTATCTTGCCGTCACTATTTTTAATAAGTGAAAATAAGAAATAGAAAATATGACATGCATCGACCGGGGATCGAACCCGGGCCGCATGGGTAAACGCCCCACCGCTCTGCCGCTGAGCTATCGATACACGGCCGATGAACGCCAAATTTTCATATTTTCTATTTTCTATTAGAATTTTAATACTAATTTTTCATATTTTCTATTTCTTATTTTCACTTGTGAGAATAATATAGCACTGTGAGTGCATTACAATCCCAATAGATTGATTAAGCAAGCTTCATCATATGGTTTGAATTCCACTCATAATGTGGACTAACCATGTAGTAAGTTCTAAATACTTTCTACAGATGTCGCTGGATCGTCGCTTGGAGACGAGCATCAAGAGACAGAAAATTTGGCGTTCATCGGCCGTGTATCGATAGCTCAGCGGCAGAGCGGTGGGGCGTTTACCCATGCGGCCCGGGTTCGATCCCCGGTCGATGCATGTCATATTTTCTATTTCTAATTTTCACTTGTGAGAATAATATAGCACTGTGAGTGCATTACAATCCCAATAGACTATTTTTAATAGGTTAGGTACCTATAGTTGGATGGTAGGTATTTTTGAACAGGGAGTCAAGCCATCATGAAAGTCAAACGTACCGTCACTGGTCAGTCGCACACAGATTAGCTACCTACCAATGTATTGGCGGGCGGGCGATACGCGCTGGAAACGGTAGGTAGGTTGGTAGGTAATTAGGTACCTATCATTCATGACATGAACATGACGACACGACCAACGCGGGGACCCGCCCGGAAAAAAAACGGGCATGGAAGCTGTATCTGTAGCAGTAAATTGGTAGGTAGGTAGGCTAACCTAACCTAACCTACCTTAGTTTCGAAGTATACCTACTTACCTACTATAGGTAGTTTCGAAGGTCACCAGCTGCCGTGAAGAAAAAAAAGTATCCAGGATCGTAATAGGTACCTAGTCCATTTGGACTACCATAGGTAGGTACCTACCTGATGATCGGAAATGAAGATGACATAACCTGGACCTTTTGCTATCGGTATTTCGGTACTCATCACTTTACCTCAAATGCTGACTAGGTAGATATCTATCTACTATGGGTAGGTACCTACCATAGGTACCTACCTAAGCCCATTTAACATACCAAATCAAACTAAAGCGCAATCTACCTACTTCTACGTACGTACCTAAAACGCCAAAGCACATATTACGAACGTTTAAAAAGAAATCCCTCCATTTCTAGTGTTTTGAAGTAGGTATCTATTTATTTATCAAATAAAAGAGTTCTTACCTACTTTTCATTATTTCTGTGGTGTTATTGTACACCCAAACACATCACAAAAATATTTTTCTTTACTCGCCATTCCGTCCGCCCGCACCGAACGCGCCGTTCACACTCAACCAGTTCCGGTTCGACACGGTTCCACAGAGCGCGTAAACGACGCGTGTCATTTATCATTTATCATTTATTTATTTATAAACTTACACTAACAGCTAAGAAGCCAAACATGTAAGCCTTAAACTCTAGATTACAGGTTTTTATGCTATTACAATACTACTCCTGGTGTAACATTGCTCAAGCAAGATAATGTCCTGCAGATGCTAGGAATTGATTTTCAGTGGACGCGAATATATCTATATTTGAAATAATGATTATTTTGTTCATGAGTGTCAAGGCTTCTACCAGCGGAGTTACTGAAAGAGCCTTGGTTCGTCCATAACTTACGTGAAACATAGGCATTTCACGAGGACGTAAGTTATGAGTATGGTACGGGGGAACGTAAAACAGGATTTGCCCCAGTAAAAATGAGTTACTTAAGTCACCTCGGATCAGTCTATAAAAATACTTCACCAGGGAAAGTTTTCGTCGTACTTCTAACGATCTATATTCAACCATACCCATGATAAATGGAGTAGGGTACAAGAAAGGGTAATAACCATAAAGTTTTTTGTACAAATATCGAAGGAATGACTTTTGTACCCTTTCGACCATATCATAGTAATATTCTTCATGGGGAGACCAGACTATTGAGTTGACTTCTAAAATACTGCGCGCATATGCGTTGTAAATGATGCTAATAGCGTCTCTACAAGTAAAATATTTGGTCTGACGTATAATGAATCCTAGAATTTTCCTGGCTTTTTTACAGGTTTCAGTAATGTGAGCATTGAATGTCAACTGGGGATCGAATGTGGTTCCAAGATCGCGGACCTTTGCTTCTCTTCTTAATGTGACATTTCCAATACTGTAGTCCACTTCGATTGGCTTTTGATTACGGTGGTATGATACGACTAAACATTTGTTAAGATTTAGCTCTAGACAGTTTTCTATGCTCCAACAATGAACTTTTTCAACATCCTGTTGCAACCGATGACAATCTTCAGGTCCCTGGATAGGCATGGCTACTTTCACGTCATCGGCGAACATTAGACATGTAGAGGCTGAGATAACTGTCGGCAGATCATTCACCATCATCAAAAAAAGAAGTGGACCTAGGCAGCTTCCCTGTCCAATCCCAGATGTCACTTGATATTCTGCAGATTTTGTATTCCTGTATTCTACATATTGACTTCGGCCTGAAAAATAGGATGAGAAGAAGCCCAGAAGTGATAAAGATGTTCCTGCTATTGCCATTTTTTCTAGGAGCATATCATTGTTTACCCTATCAAACGCTTTTCTAAAATCGAGATATATAACATCAGTTTGGGTTTTGTTGTCAATGTTATGAGCAATGAGAGTTGATATATTGAGTAGGTTAGATGATGTGGATCGGTTTGGAAGAAAGCCGTGTTGCTCATCACAGAACCAGCTATGGCGGTGGATGATTGACTCGAATATTTTACCGAAGACGGATAGTATGGCTATGGGTCTGTAATTTGTAACGTCATTTTTGGGACCGCTTTTATGTATGGGTATTACCTTAGACTTTTTCCACATTGTAGGGTAGGATTTAGTACCGAGAGCTAGGTTATATAAATATTGCAAAGGCTTTACAAAAGATTCACAGCAATCTTTGACAATAAGTTGGGCTACTCCGTCTGGGCCTTGTGTTAGTTTTGGTGACAGACGTTTAATAGCGCGGCGTACATCTGCTAGAGTTATATTTGCTATTTCAATATGTCTAAGATTATGAACTGATTTCTTTGCAGCTTCAATGTAAGCGTCTGTTGCATCGAGAGCAGGTGGGGAAGGCAAGAAAACGCTCTTGAAAAAGTCAGCAAAAAGATCAACAAGTTCCTGGGTTGAAGATGTTTCGAAGTTTGTGGGGTCTAATGACTTTCGATTACTCGCCATAAAAGACCAGAACGATGCAGGATTGCTTTTAATGTTAGATTGAACTTTTTGTATAAATTCCTGCAAGTCGGGTTCTATTTTATTAACCGACGAAAAAACAAAAGAGGAGGAGGTTCTCAATTCGTCCCGAACTTTTATTTTTATTTTCTATGTATGTTCACCGATCATTTAGAGACGCCTTGACCAATTCGAAAAATTCTTTTTTTGTTTGAAAGCGTGCACTGCCCAGGTGGTCCCATTGTCATCAGGTCAGGATCTGATGGCAGAATCCTTAAAAATTCAGTAAATTCTTATATTTTGCGGCACATTTTGAAGCATAATGTACTTATGTTTACCTACATGCCTACCCCTTGACATCAACTGCATGACAAACATCTGGCAAAGAAGCTTGTCAAAAAGAGGTTCTTTTTAAAGGTCGTATATGAATATTAGTCTGTAGGTATTTTATAGTGATTCTTTATTCTCTTTGAACTCTTATACGACTGGGCAGATTTTGATAAGAGCTATGTCAAAGGAATACTTTCATCACCCTGAGACACCATTGCTAGTTTTGTTGTAAAATAATTACGTATTAACTTGCAAATGATTGAATTTTATCAAAGGAGAGAGAATGGGTCTAGAACGGACCTATTTAACCAAACTTTTTAGGACCATTGACGATAGTGTCATTGACGTCTTGAATCACAGTTTGACTTAGCTCAAACTTATCACACAAGCTGTTTTCAAACGGGTGCGGAACGGAACGGACGGCCGGCGGATGCGCAGCGGCGAATTCGTCACGTACGCGAAGCGATTTGCAATGCAACGTTTTGATAAAAGTACCGCCTGTATCCGCCGCACGTACGAGACGAATTCGCTGCGTATCCGCCGCGCATCAGTCGCGCGTTGCGCGTCTGGACGTTCGCCCCGCATCCGCTAGCAAACCCGTTGTGTGATAAGGCTCTTTTATCTCAAATCAAACCAATCATAATCGTGTTTGTTTACATTTATTTAAAACTTCGACAGCAGAAAACTTTTGCAAATAGCAATGTATATATTTTGATAAATTGAATTTAGCTGTGGGTACAACAAATCCTACTTTCCTAGGTAATGGTATATAGGTAAATGTTTACAATAACATTGTTATATATAACCAACCAATGATTTTATGATTACGCAACAAAATAATCCTATGCTCTGTGCTATGCAAGCGGACATCTGACTGAGAAGGCTGCCTGGCTTACCCTAAAAAGATCTGCTATGGTGTTGCTACAACTACATGGCCGAGTAATGATATTATATGTGGCCGATTAATACTTTGATTATTGTTCGATGTTAATCAGAACATTAATTTAACATGAACTGAACTGAATGAAGTATTTTATTGCAGCAGCGCAGTTGCATTTAGAAAACCTCATAATAGGTATATCCCAAGTACCTATTCGATAAGGTCTGCGTATCACATTGAATATGAAGAGCAAGCTGATAGTTGTTGTGAAGTACCTATTTAATTATCTATATTTGTTATCAAGAAATATATGCAAGAAAAACTCAGGTAAAGACTGAGGGTAAATAATTACCATCATGTCATACTTATCATATTTATAATATTACGTCCACACTAACTAACTATGAAAGGTTGAGGTTGATAAACATAGTAAACATACAACTACTTAGTACAAATCATTACATTTAGGGGGTTGAGATGGAGCTTCTGCCTCACATAGAAAAGAAACAGTCGAATATTGGTCACAAAAAAGTATAAAATAAAAGCTTTTTAACAAAAAATATCAACCAACGAAAACTGAAAAGCATAAAATAATTAACTTTTGTAAGTCAACCT